TGCGAATACCCATACATGCAGCCTCCATGCCAATTGCCTCAATACCCAAGGATCCTTCAAGTGTAAATGCAAGCAGGGGTACAAAGGCAATGGACTTCAGTGTTCTGGTGAGTAGTGTTTGGGCATGGCATCTTAGCTAGTCCAAATAAAGCCTTCTATCCACATCTCCTTCCTTCTTTCCTTTACTTTGTTGTGTGTGTGTGTGCGCACACGTTGTGTGCAGTGTTTGCATTTACCTGGACTCTGCCTCAGCCTTGTCTTCTTTGCTAATTGGACCACATCTCCAACCTTCCCTAAAGCTGGAGGCACAAAACTTAAAGAACATCAATGGTTCTCAACTCTTTTCTGGTCACACCATACTTTCAAATACTGAAAATAAGATTTAAAGACAAAAGACACTGCTCAGTGAAATTAGTCAATCACAAAAGGGCAAATATATGAGACCACTACTGTGAAAAGTCAAGGAAAAGTTCACACATAGAAAGAAACATTCTTTGAAGGTTACCAAGGGTGGGAGGGAAAAGGAGGGTAAATCACTAACTAGAGGATAGATACGTATTAACTTGGGTGAAGGGAAAGGCAATATATAATAATGGGGAGGTCAGCGCAAGATGATCAAGGCAAGGGAAGACCCTGGGAGGAGCACAGGAGTTAAAAGCAACAAAGGTAAGTACTATTACATACACACTCTGCAATAACAGTAATCTATGAGTGGATACATCGATAGACATGTAAGCTGAACAAGAGTGGGAAGGCAAATGGAATACACCCATGAATATATAGATAGGCTTGACAGAGAACATTTCTACATATGTATTTATATGTGCTGCAAATATATCCATGAATATAGTAGAGTGTAAAACAAAAAAAACTAAACCCACTGCCATCAAGTTGATTCTGACTCATAGCAACCCCCACTGGGTTTCCAAGCCAATAAATTTTTATGGAATCAGGTTGCCTCATCTTTCTTCCACAGAGCAGCTGGTGGGTTTGAACCACCAACCTTCTGGTTAGCAGTCAAATGTCTTAGGTACTATACCACCAGAGCTCCTTTAGTAGAGCACACAGGGGGCAAAATTATGAAAACTTCTCAGCCGTAACTAACACCTTGAGGGAAGGAGTTGCTGGGCATGAGGGCTCAGGACTATAATCTTGGGGAACATCAAGTTCAATTGGCATAACTAGTCCACAAAGACAATGTTGTGTATCCTACTTTGGTGAGTAGTGATTGAGGTCTTGAATGCTTGTGAGTTGGCATCTAATGTGCAACTATTGGTCTCTCCCCATCTGGAGCAAAGAATGAAGAAAATAAAAAATGCAAAGAAACAATTAGTCCAAAGGATAAGTGGACCTTGTGAACCCAGCCTCCATGACCCTGGGACCAGAAGAACTAGATGGTGTTTGGCTACAACAGCTGATTGCTCTGAAAGAGATGACAATAGGAGGTCTTGGATAGAGAGGGAGAAAAATGTGTAACAAAACTCAAAATCAAAAAAAAAGAAAGAGAGAGAGACCAGACTTACTGGTCCCATAGAGACTTGTGGACCCCCTGAGACTAGGAGCCTTAGACGCCTTTCAAGCCTGGAACTGAACTCACCCCCATGGCTCAACTTTCAGCCCAAAAATAGACAGGACTATGAGGTAAACAATAACACCAGAGAGGAACACACTCTTTAGAACAATCAACTATACAAGATCCAAAGGGCAGCATTTGCTCAGGGAGAAAGCTCAGAAAGCAGGAAGGGATCGGAAAGAAGGACAAAGGGAAACAGTAACCACAGGGAGGAAGTGGGAAGAGTGCTGCTACATTGTGGGGACGGCATCCAATGGCACAAAACAAAATGGGTAGGAATTATTGAACGGAAAACCAATTTGCTCTGTAAACTTTCACCCAAATCACAATTAAAAAGTAAAAAAAAAAAAAAAAAGCAAGACACTGAGCAAATGTATCAGGATAGGCTAAGTTATGGTCAGTGGCTTAAAACCACAATGGTTTTTCTAACCACGTGAATCAGGATTTTTTCTAGAATACACCACCAAAACAAAGGATGATGAAGCTGGCATCATTTTATCTGTCATTCTCAAACTTGGATCCACTTTTATTAATGTATAATAAGAGTTCCATTGCTCTTGCTGGTGAATTTGTAATGCTTATTTTTATCTTTACATTTATAAATCGAATGTAGAGCAATAATATATTACTGCTATTAAAAACTACAGCAACAATCTAGGTTTATTTCTTACTCATGCTATATCCAAACAGAATGTCAGGGGTTTCTTCCAAGTATAGTGCTTAGTGATCCAGGCTCTCGGACGCCCGCCATCTTGTGGCAGTCCTGTATGAAGCTGTAGCCTTAGTTGTCACAGCGCAAAAAGAAGCATGTGCAATCATGCGTCAACTCTTAATTAATTCAGCTTGGATGTGTCTGACTTCAAGGGGCAAAAATCTATCATCCTGCCATGTGCCCCAAAAGAGAAGAGAAGCAGAAATCATGGAGAGCACCCAGAATGTCTACCAAGGCAAGTTGGCAATGATTACAATGCAGTCGCTGCCTTGGTAAACAATGTCTTAGGAAATCACGTCCCTTTAGCACTGGCTCAGCATGTGACTAAACTTGTTGACTGCCCTCATTCAACTCTCACATACCCTTTAGCAGCGTTCCTACGTGTTCTAATCAGTATGACTGCCAGCTCTACCTTGGCCTACGACCCACCCCGTGGCCCCATCTGCTCACTGCTCCTGGTGACAAAAATGGCTGTAAGAGAATGTCCACTCAGGCATGACTAAAATAAACCAGACATACTTTCATAGACATTTGGCAGCACACCTGTAAAAAGTTCACAATACGCCAGTATGCTGGGGCTGAACGCCATTGGGCAAGAATGTGTTCAAAAGACTATAACCAAAGAAAACAAGACTGGAAATCAAATTCTATGAAGAAATGCTGAAAGAACTTGGCAGCATTTAGCCTGGAAAAAACAATGTGAAAAAGGCATACATCATGCCTGTAAATATTTTAAGGAATTTAAAATAAATGTAACTCCCCAAAGCAGACTAAGACCAATGGGAAGATGTTACATTCTCTCTCTTAAAAATTACCACCATATATCTACCAGTGGAGTAGGCTACCCCACAGAGTAGGGACATTCCACTGCCAAAGGCTTTCAGGCTGGGGACTCTGGGACAGATTCTTGCATTGAATTGGAGCTTGGATTTAACAACCACTCAGTCTCCAGCCACTTGATACTATGGTTTCTAATCCTCTGTATGGAAGTGTCTATGGAATCTCTGGGTGATGCAAATGGTTAATGAACTCAGCTGCTATCCAAGAGATTGGAAGTTCAAGTCTAACCAGAGGTGCCTTGGAAGAAAGGTATCATGATCTACTTCTGGAAAATCAGCCATTGAAAACTCTATGCAGCACAGTTCTACTCTGATCCACATGGGGTCCCATGAGTGGGAATCAATGTGATGGCAACTGGTTTTAGACGTGCCCATAATGACATTATGTTGAGAGAAATAAGGCAGTCATTGAAGGGCAAATACCGTATCAGTCCGTTATTGTAAAAGTCAAGGAAAGGTTTATCTATGGAAGGAAATTTTCTTTGTTGGTTTCCAGGGGTGAGAGGGGAGGGGAAAGAAGGGGGAGGGAACACTGTTAGATAGGTAGAGATAAGTATTGATTTGAAGGGTGAAGAGAAGGGCAATGTACCAAATGTGAGTGATCAACATGGTGGCACTGAGGAAGAGGAAGACATAGAGAGGTACATGGGAGGTACAGACAACAAAGATAAACCCTTTTGCATATACAGTACTGCGTTGTCTGTGAAGGCAAACATGGGTATACGAGTGGATAGATGGTAATCTATGGGTAGACAGGTAATGTCTATGCAGTGGGGAGTGTACCCAAGATCATGTATAGGGTTGGCAGACAATGGTTCTACAAGTGTATTTGTATGTTCTGTAAGAATTTCCAGCTGTATAGTAGAGCTGACAAGGGACAAGGTTGTTGTCACTTCTTGGTCACAGCCAGCTACACAGAGGGACCAAGTAGTTGAACCTGTGGGTTCGGGACCATAGCCACAGGGGACATCAAACTCACTTGGCATAACATACTACACAAAACATTGTTCCACCTCCTACTTTGGTGAGTAGCAACTGGGATCTT